CTCCTGCCTCTGCCTCCCAAGTAGCTGGGACCACAGGCGCCCGCCACAACGCCCGGCTATTTTTTGGTTGCAGCCGTCATTGTTGTTTGGCGGTCTGGGCTGGGGATTCGAACCCGCCACCCTAGGTGTACGTGGCTGGCGCCTTAGCCAGTTGAGCTATAGGCGCCAAGCCGGGAAAATCTTTCTTACACATTGTGGTCCTTGACCATTTCTAGGCCCATTGCCTACCAGAGGGCTGTGGATTGCCTCACAGGTTAGAATGTGCATCCACCTGTTGCAGACAGGCTGCGGTTTCTTCAGCAATAGAGTCCCTTTAAAAACTCAGCAGACATGAGACATATTTGCTTCTGGTCAAATTTATGCCTTTATAACCCAGCTAGCAATCTTGTCTCCATATAGTCTTTTAAGCCTCAAGATTTTGGTCTTACCTTCTGGACTCTGTGCTCTGCCCATTTCCCTATCCCTTATCGGAACAAGCCACTGCCTTGAGGCAGTTCAGACACTACCCATAGTGTGACCTGTGCCAATGATATGTCTAAGGACTGGTGAGAACTCTTAACAGTGATAGAAAAGTCCAGAAGAAACCAGTTTTACCACGACGGAAGCTGTTGTCATCTGGAGTATAAAAGTTCCTGTCTTTTTCAGGCCTGCTATGTTCCAAATTATAGGACTCTTAGTCAATTGAGATGGCCACCCACAGGCAGAGGGATTTTCTATTAACAAAGCTGGGTTTTCTTTTTTTCTAATTTATGTTTGCATTCTAGCCATTTCTGAGTTAATCTAACTTGTAGGGCGTGGCCAAATGCAGCAAGGAGACTATACACTTGCTGTTTCTTATAGGGTTGATTCATTTGTTCTTCAAGTATTTATTAAGCACATTCTGTGCTAGGGGTGCTGGAGATACAGCAGTAAACAAAAAAGCATGGAATGCTTGCCCTCACAATTTATAATTTAATGAGTTCATCTGTTGCCCATTTTAAATCTTCTTTATTTTTCCTGTACAGTGTCTCTCTAGGTGATTGTCGCTATTTCATGGTCTCAACTCCTACCTGTACCATGGTGACTTAAGAATTTCTAGCTCTAACTCCTGGCCTGGAGGTCCACATATACAACTGTCTTTTAGTCATCTTTACACAGATGTCCCTTAGGCATCTCAAACTGAGCTCTTTTCTTGGCCACGATTTTCTCTAAGACCTTATTATATGTCCTTTATTGTCTGATTCTGCCTAACCTAATATCATCATCACCTTCCTGCCAGGTCTTCTGAGTCTGAAATGTTATCATCTTCCACTCCTCCCTTTCCCTTATCTTTATATCCAGGCAGTCATCCCGTCCTAGTGATTTGATCTCATAAAAGTCTTAGCCCAACATCACCGCTTTATTTCTACTGCCTTACTTCATCTTTCCTTAGGCCTAGACTATTATCACATCCTTTCCTTGCCTCAAAATACACCCCTACCTAATCTATCAGTTACTCTACCACCAGAATTATCATGCTAAAAAATTACATTTTTGCTTACTATCTGTATTCCCAGTTGCCTACAAGATAAAAACCCGAACTCCTTTGCAGAACACATAAGGCCCTGGCTTCTATGTTATTTCACCAGACTCACCACCCACTGTTCCTCAACACTCTAGCCATTAACTGTTTAGAGTTCCTTAAACATGCTGTGTATGCCTCTCCTTTTTCTGTGGGATGACTTCCCTCCTCACCCTTTGTAGTGCTATAAATTCCTTTTCTTTCTTCAAGACATAGCACCATTTCCTGTTTGGCACCTTTCCCAACTCCTGCAGACTTAGTGAGTTGCTTCTTCCTCTGCGTTCCTGTACTTCCTCCATTCCTTTGTTATGATTTTACTATTTAGCAAGTAGTAAAATCTATAGTGCCACAAAATGCAGGCACAGAACTAGTTAAAGCTGTATAACTGAACTTTACCTAGTTTTCATGCTCCATGTTCACAGATGCAAAGAAAGGTGATTCAGTCCTTTTCAGAAACTTCTTAGTCCTGTCAGCGTTTAAACTCCTGTAACATTTTGCCTTTTTTCTCTCCTTTTCTCTGAGAGTGATCTAGATGTCAGGAGAGGCATTGTAGGGAAGGTTGTCTGGCTTATGCATCCCATCTATTCTCTGGCTCCCACTGCCCTCTGCTAGATTAACCACCCTGAGCTTTGGCCATGCGCACCCATTTGCATTTAGGTAGTGTCTTCACAGGCCACTCTGTCTTTTTCATGCTGAAGGAATTCCTTTCCAGGCCATTTCTTTACTCCTCCTGTACTGCAGGAAATGTCTGAGCATGTATACTTCATGCTGAATATGGGGTCTCATGTAATGGTTCTCATCTGTTCTAGAGTCTTCTCCTGCCCTTGCCACCCTCCACCCAGGTGCCAGGCTTTACGAGGGAGTGCACCCAGCAGAGTCAGCAATGGTCCTTTCTGCTCTGAGTCCCTCAGTTATTCTTGTTCTGAGATTTCTACTCTTCTGCCCTCTCCTGTCTCCTAGGCTCTCTTGAGGAAGTAAGGCAGGGAAGTGAGCCCTTTCTCAAACTTCCCAAAAGATCTAGTCATGTCACATCTGACTCTTCTAGTCCCACTAGCGGAAAAAATGTTTTATTTATCTTGAAGTGAGGAAAATGCTTTTAGTATATCTTGTATTATTCTGTCCTCTGTCTTTATGGTAAAATCTTTATGTTCTAAATCCAGGATTTTAGCCTTTAGTTCAGAAAACCTTCTTCCTTTCAGGAAACCTAACTCTGAAAGCCAGAATTTTAAGAATATTTTCTTCTGTGAATTAAAGTAATTATATATCATATATAAAAATATGCACTCATACATACACATATATAATGGGGGTGCCCCAAAAATGTATACACATTTTAAGAGATGTTGTTGGAAGTAAAATCAATCATTCCCCCAAAGTGTATGAATTGCAGGTAAAATGGATGTGTGTAGCATGTCTAGATACACTTGACAGTAATGGTACCTTCAACTTTAATGGAAAGTAATGCATAGATAATGTCAGTTAAAATGTGTATATATTTTTTGCACCCTCTGTATATGTATTCAAATGACTTTGTTCTAAACTTTGTCTTTTTTGCCATTGAACAACAACTCAATGGATGAAAGAGCAAAGAGCAAGTAAAACTTCTTGGGAGGGAAAATCTTTCATCTTAAAATATTACCTTGCCACATAAAATTGTGCTGTATTTTGTCTGTTTACATGCAGTGAACAGGAGAATAGGATTCATATCTTACTGTGAACTTTGGAGAATAGGAATCATATCTTACTCATTTACAAGCAATATGTCAGAATGGAGTAGTCAGAATAGAGTATATGCTCCTTAGTATCACAGTCCCCAGAAAGCCTAATAGGTGGAAAATTGCCTGGAGAGTCTGGATCTCGATCTAAAACATGTGATTCTTTGTGGGGTATTATGCTAGGTCGTGGTAAGAAATGATGACCTATCCTTGACCTACTATACAGAATACATAGTGACCAAAATGTCTGGGTCCTCCAAATCCAGGGTTGTTCTTCTTAAACAATGAAGCATGTGCACTGACATTTTATATGCTCAACATTCTCCCTATTTTGGCACATTTTTATTATAATGCTATCCATGAGATTGAGAGACTGTACTTTTTCTTATTAGATGTTTTTGAAAGCCACATTCTCAAGAGTTCTATTTGTTGCCTATAACCATCAGACAATGTTCTAAGAGAAATAGAACCTTCCTTCCATTGTGTTCTCTTTGTCATCTGATTAGTTGATAATGTTGACTTGAATCACAATCTCTCTGAATCCAGATCTGTTACCTTTTAAATGGAGATGCTATACAAACCATAAATTAATTCCATCTAATCAATGTAAAAATCCTTTGAAAACCACAGACTTCTCTGCAAACTCTAATGATATATTTAAATGTAAGCTATTATTATGCCAGTGATATCAGAGATAGGATTGTTTTAAGGGAACAACTTTGCATTTTTGTGGCCGGGGCTGGGTTTGAACCTGCCACCTGTGGCATATGGGGCCAGCGCCCTACTCCTTTGAGCCACAGGTGCTACACTTAAGGGAACAACTTTGGATGCCTTTGCTATAGACACAGGGACTCAGGACCAACAGGTGGTGATTATTTGAAAGACTAGAGAGGGAATATATATTATTACCCAAATAGGCACTATCATTCACCAGATATAACAATATTTAATTTTTTCTTTTACCAGACCTCAAATATGGAGTTGGCATATACTTCACCAAGAACCTCAAAAACCTAGCAGACAAGGTCAAGAAGACTTCTGCCGCAAACAAGCTGATCTATGTGTTTGAGGCTGAAGTACTCACAGGCTCCTTTTGCCAGGGACAGAAGTCAAATATTGTTCCCCCACCATTGAGTCCTGGAGCCATGGATATTCATGACAGTGTGGTTGACAATGTCTCCAGCCCTGAAACCTTTGTTATTTTTAATGGCATACAGGCAATGCCCCAATATTTGTGGACTTGTATGCAGGATCATGTTGGGTTACAAGATAACTCATTGAGATCAAGGATGCTTTACCAGCAGCCTTGGGGGAGATTCACAGGTGGCAGCTCTGTTGATTAATCCATATGTCATTGTAATAGCTGGCATGGCCTTACTTTGGGGAAACTAACAAAATAATCACCATCAATGACTCAAAGAGTGGTTTGAATATGTCAAATAGGTTATCTGTATGGATTGACTGAGTTATTGAAGGAGCCAGCCACACACTAGTACCTTAGTGCCTTCATTTGTGTTTTTAATCTCTTGGAGTTGGGGTGAGTAATTACCAACTAAAACACTCAGGACTGTTCCTTCTCCTCACAGCTGTTCTTTCACCTCCTTTGCTATAGGTAACAGCAAAAATGTTCTACATTTAATAAGATTTTTCTAGTATATAGTCTAAGCCTTTCATTTTCGAAAATGATGAGCATGTAAACTATTAGGACAGCAAAATGATTTTAGATTTTCCAGAGAATCTTATAACGTGCTTTAGATATCAAAATAAATAACCTTTGTCTGAGTTATGGGCTCGGAAACATATCTTGAGATTATTGAAATAATTTGAAGTAGAAGGACATCAAATGTTGATAATCTGTTTGGATTCACCCATATCCAGCAATGCCACTTAAGCACCATAAGGCCAAGTTATTAATTCACCAAATATTTACTGATCACCAGATGTGCCTTAGTCACTTGTGGGTACGAGGGACATGATGCTGAATAAGACAAATGTCTTTACAAATCTTTTAGCCTGAATAATCAGAAAAAATAATCATACAACTTAAGTGTGATTAGGTGTAACGAAAAGAGAATTATAGTCTCTTTGGAAAAATTTAAGGAGGAAAGGGATAAATTAATCAGAGGTTGAGGGAAAGGGGCCACCAAGTGAAATGAAATTCAAGCTGAGACCACAAAGAATGTAGCAAGTTTGGAGCAGACAAAAGAGTATCTTAGGCAGAGAGAATAGCTTTTATAAAGGATGAATTCACTGTGACTGTGACTACAAAGTTCTGTTTGCAATGTTGAGGCCAGCTAATCACACTATGCATCTCTTACCTACTTTCAAATCCATATTTCTCTTTATTTCTAAACTATCCTGACCTTACAACCTCTTGCACAGAATACTTTCTCCTCCTTGTCTTACCTTAACCAGCATTCTCTCTCTAGGAAGAAGCATGCTTATTGTTTAATATGGTATTGCCCTTGAATTTGGGCAAGAGGCACTAGGCCTTGAACCCTGGTTTCAAAGGTTCTCAAGCCCTTTCCTTGAGAGTGCCCCAGTCTAGCCCTCCTCCAATGGTGCCCATCCTCACAAGATGGAGTCTAAGAGAATGGATCCATTTGGAGCCTGCACGTGACTCTCTTAAGCCACCAACAAGGCACCTGGAACCCCTAAATTTCCTACTTAAGAGCTAAATCCACTTCCAGGCCCTGATTGGGTCTCATCCTTGGGTTTCTCCTCCCAAGGTTGGACTGTGCCACAATCTGCATCAAGAATGACCAACAGATGACCATTTGTAGGCATGAGCTTAGACTTGAGTGTTAAGCTGTCCATATGCATGAGTCCTGTGGTGCAGAGCTAAGGGTGAGAAGACAGATTTGAAAGATCTAGCTTAAGTGTATTAAGAATTTTAAAAGTGGCTCAGTGCCTATAGCTCAACCGGCTAAGGCGCCAGCCATGTACACCTAAGGTGGCGGGTTCGAATCCCCAGCCCGGACCCGCCAAACCAACAATGACGGCTGCAACCAAAAAAAAAAAATAGCTGGGCATTGTGGCGGGCGCCTGTGGTCCCAGCTACTTGGGAGGCGGAGGCAGGAGACTCGCTTGAGCCCAGGAGTTGGAGGTTGCTGTGAGCTGTAATGCCACGGCACTCTACCCAGGGGAACAGCTTGAGGCTCTGTCTCAAAAATAAAAAAAAGAATTTTAAAAGTGAATGGAGGAGAGGCAATCTTTACAAGGGTTTAAAAAAAAAAATCCATAACAAGAAACATAATGAAACTGTAGGCCACCAAAGAAGTAATCTTAAAAGCAGCCAGGGAGAACAGCCAAATCATCTTCAAAGGAATAACAGACTGACAGCATTATATTTGGGGTAGGCAGAATAATGTCTTCCCCTGAACCTGTGACTATTATTACCTTACACACTACAAAAGGGCTCTGCAGATATAATTAAGTTTACACTTCAAATGGAAAGGTTATCTAGGATTCCCCAGTTTAATCACTAAAGTATTTAAAAGTGGAGAATATTTCATAGCTGAGTCAAAGAGATGTCAGCATGGGAAGAGAGTCACGTGCAAAGAGAGTCACGTGCAAAGAGATGTCAGCATGGGAAGGATTTTCTGACATGTAGGAAACTCTGTATAAAGACTAAAGAGAAGCTTCTCAGAGTAGACCCCAGCTGACAACCAGCAAGAAAACAGAGACCTTAGTCTACTGCATGGAACTGAATTCTACCAACTCCTGAATTAACAAGAAAACAAGCTCAAGAGCCTTCAGAAAGGAATAAAATCTGCCAACTGATATCTTGATTTTAGTTTAGTGAGATCCATGTCTCACTGCTGACCTACAGAACTATGAAACAATAAATTTGTGCCCTTTTAATCCATTAAAGTTTTGGTAATTTGTTATGGCCATAATAGAAAACTAATATATGTTTCAACAGTAACAGTGGAAGCCTGAAACATTAGTATAATATTTTCAAAGGCTGAGAGAAATTGTTAGTCTAGAATTTTATGATTAGCTACAACTATTATTTTGCTTTAATTTTTAAATAAAGATACTCTCGGATCATCAAAAACTGAGTTTACCAACAATAGGTTCTCAGTTATGAACCTTAAAATTTAAGGAGGTACTTCAGGAAGAGAAAGACTAAAGGAAAATCTAAATGGCATTAAGGTATTTTTGAGCAAAGAAATGGTAAATATGAATAGTTCAATCATTGTCTTTATAAAACAGCAAATAGGAATATCTAATTTTGGTTATAAAATAATACCAAAATAAAATACTGTGAAAAGGTGGGGTGGTGACTACAGTTAAAGTGTTTTAAAGTCTTTGTCTAGGGCCAGGTGCAGCACCAGGTACCTATAGTCTCAGCTACTTAGGAGGCTAAGGCAGGAGGATCTTTTGAAGCCAGGAGTTCAAGGCTGCAGTGAGCTATCATTGTGCCTATGAATAGCCACTGCATTCCAGCCTGGGCAACATGGTGAGACACTGTCTATAAATAAATAAATAAAGTCCTTGTATTGTGCAAGATTAAAGATACTAAGTTTATTAACCAGATTAAAATTTAAGGGCAGCCACAAAAGAAGAGGAAAGCATGTAACTGGAAGTTATATGAGGAAAAAAAAAGAATTAAAAAATCCCAAAGTGGGAAAAGTTAGGAAAAGAAAAAAGAAAATAAAAAAATATATAAAACAGGGCAGTGCCTGTGGGTCAGTGGGTAGAGCTTGGGCCCCATATACTGAGGGTGGCAGGTTTGAACCCAGCCCCTGCCAAACTGCAACAAAAAAATAGCTAGGCATTGTGGTGGACACCTGTAGTTCCAGCTACTCAGGAGGTTGAGGCAAGAGAATCGCCTAAGCCTAGGAGTTGGAGGTTGCTGTGAGCTGTGATGCCATAGCATTCTACCACGGGCAATAAAGTGAGACTCTGTCTCTTAAAAAAAAAAAAAAAATATATATATATATGTGTGTGTGTGTGTGTGTGTGTATAAAAACAACACAAAATGGTAGAAATAATTACCCGTAATAATATATGTGATTATAATATGTATGATTTGGACTAAACTTGCTAGTTCAGTCACAGACTGATAGATTGTATTTCATTTATTTCTTTTTACAGATTGTATTGAAAAAATCAACTATATACTGTTTGTAGGAGACATAACAAAATCCTTAAAATACTGAAAGATTGAAAATAAAAAGATAGGAAAATGTAATTAGCAAACACTAATCAAAAGAAGTCTGGCATAGCTGTATTAGTATTAGATAAAGTATACCTTATATTAAAAAGCCTTATGAAGGATAAAGAGGACTAACTGATGGTGACATGTTCAGTTCACTAGGAATAGATATAATGCTAAATCTGTATGTAATGTATTTAATAACAGAGACTCAAACTATATAAAGCAAAAATTGACAGAATTATAGGCAAAAGTGACCAGTCCATTATCACAGAGATTTAACAGCTGTCAGTAACTAGTAGGTAACACGGCAAAAATATTAGTAAGAATACAGAAGGCTTGAATAACAGTTTTTATTTAATGTACATAAGACCTCCCTCCCCCAAATTTGATAATATGTATTCTTCTTAAGTATACGATGAACAGTTACGTAGATTAACTAGACTCTTAAGTTCAATGATTTCTTTTTTTTTTCTTTGAGAAAGAGTCTTGCTCTGTTGCCCAGGCTCCAGGCTGAAATGTAAGTGGCTTGATCATGACTCAACTACAGCTCTGAACTCCTGGGTTCCAATGATCCTCCCACCTCGGCCTCTTGATAAGTTCAACAAGTTTTTTTTTTGTTTTTGTTTTGTTTTTTGTTTTGTTTTTGTTGTTTTTGTTTTGTTTTTTGTTTTTGTTTGTTTGTTTTTGTTTGTTGTTTTTGTTTTGTTTTTTTAGACAGAGTGTCTGGGGCTCAAGCAATCCCCTTGCCTCAGCCTCTTAAGTAGCTGGAACTATAGGTGCCTGCCAAGGCACTGGTTTAGTTTTTCTATTTTTAGTAGAGACAGGGGTCTTGCTGTTGCTCAGGCTGGTCTCAAACTCCTGAGCTAAGGCGATCTAGCCTCCTTGGCCTCCTAGAGTGTTAGTGTTGCAGGCATGAGCCACAGTTCCTGGCCAGGTTCAAAAAAAAAATTTTTTTTTTAAGAGACAGAGTCTCACTTTGTTGCCCTCAGTAGAGTGCTGTGACGTCACAGCTCATAGCAACCTCCAGCTCTTGGGCTTAGTCAATTCTCTTGCCTCAGCCTCAGCTGAGACTACAGATGCCTGCCACAGTGTGTGGCTGTTTTTTGGTTGCAGCCGTCGTTTAGTGGACCCGGGCTGGATTTGAACCTGCCAGCTCAGGTGTATGTGCCTAGGACCTCAGCTGCTTGAACCATAGGTGCTGAGCCCAGGTTCAACAATTTTAAAGACATTTTCAATTGGGCCATGTTCTCTGGCCATCATTCATCATGTAATTAATTTAGAAATCAAAGAAAAATGATTAAAAATAAATATATTTGTAAATTATATATAATATTTGAAATAATGCCCCATGGGTCTTGAAAACATAACATAAAATAGAAAATATTTAGAACTGAATGATAATGAAAGTATTACTAATATAGCTTCTGACATAAAACTAAAATAGTGCTTAAATTATTCATAAACTTAAGCTTTTATTAAGAAAAAGGTATAGGCTTGGCACCTGTAGCTCAGCAGCCAGGGTGCTGCCACATATACTGGAACTGGCAGATTCGAACCTAGCCCAGGCCTGTCAAACAATGACAACTACAATAAAACAATAGCTGGGTGTTACGGT